TGCATCAGAAGATGACTGAAAACATCTAATAGAATAGTTATCAGGACAGTAATTAAGAGCAACAGACCTGGTGCTTATGTGACTGTCATATTTTAGGCAGGGTAATCTTATCCACCGATTTTCACATTTTGCCTCTTGAACACTTATTTTATATAAATTACGAATGTAATTTCTCACATACATGCAGTACAGTCTCTCACACCACCGTGATTCAAATAAAATAAAGTAGGTGGGTGAAAGAGGACTGAGGTCTATCATTCAGTTAACAGAAATATGTAAACGTATTCCTATGAAACAGAACTACTGATTGCCTGTTTTCATGAATTCATGTACCTGTCAATAGTTTTGCCTAAGGATTACATCACGGCATTAGGGAGTCAGGCCAAAAACTTTGAGGAGAATTCCAACAGAATGGCTAGTGTTGCTGTAGTTTTCAGGGAGGAAATTCTCATCAGAAATCCTGAATTTGGGTTGCTATATTTGAAGAAGTATTCTGTTATTCCAACACATGATACTCTCTCTTTTCAAACATATATTACTCACCCACATATTGAGGATTCCATTTTCATCCATTGAAGCGATCTGAAATGGAGAGCCTGACATTTCTATAGAAGGAATAGAAACAATTTATATTCATACACTGACCTTGATTCTGAGCAATATCAAAGGATTTGAAACATTTCCCACGTTAATACGTTCTCTGAAACTTCTATGATGCTCTCAGATGCATAAAAAGGGAAAGTGCCCTCATTCTACCAAAGAAGAAAAAGGCATGAAACTTTCTTTACCGAGAGGGTGGTCAAACACTGGAACAGGCTTTCTAGAGAGATGGTGGATGACCCGAGCCTGTCAGTGTTTGAGGCATTTGGACAATGCCCTTAACAACACGCTTCAACTTTTGGTCAGCCCCAAACTGGTCAGGCAGTTGGATTAGATGATCGTTGTAGGTCTCTTCCAACTGAAAGAGTCTATTCAGAGAGATGTATCTCTGTCTATTCTAGTATGTTCAGTTTGTCCTACCAGAAAGGCAGATGATCTCTGCCTGCTTCTTTTAAAATGTCTGGATTCTGCATGGACTTTGGAACAGAACATAAAGTGCAGTCGATGAAATCTTGTAAAGCTTGCAACATGCAGGACATTTCTTTGGACTACTATGGATTTCAAAGTGCAAATCTTGAACGGAAGTAATAATGTTTCCTCTAGTACACTGCCTGAGAATCTGGGGGCATGAGGATTAAAGTTTCTTTGCAAAGGTTGGTCATAAAAAAATTAGGCAAAAGGTACAGGATGAACCACCAAGTACAGTCACACATTTTAAGTGCTTTCAGATATAAGCAAGTTGTTCTACTGATTCAGATCGGGGTTTTTTTGGACATTATAGAAGTACTAAGACTTCTCTAAAGGCAGTTTTTGAATGACAACTTGTTTTATCATGGAAGAACAAAACACTGTCTTGAAAACAGACATTATAACAAGCATGCACCCACACCTGATGTGAAGCTGCACTGAATGAACATAACATAAAAATGAGAGCAGAAAATAAACATAAATGTTGTATGCAACTGATAGTATAGACAACTTAAGAGGCAGAATAGAATGATAAGCTGGATTTTGGCTATTACATATTTATTTTACTAGATACATAAAGAAAGATTCAGATGGATTGACGCTTTGAAGAGCAGCTTACATACCCTCCTGATAAGAGAGGCTTGAAAGCCCATAATTCTGATCAGTGTAGAAAGAGGTTGAGACAGGTTCCACTGCTAGTATAGGAGAGGTATGGTTTACTGAGTTTAGAATGCCGTCTGTAATTAAGGATAATGAAAGTTAAACACTATATTATTTTCAACAAAGACAACCACAAAACCATAATCACTTTTCAGCTTATAGGAGAATGATGATTACAAAGAAAGAATGGCAAAAAATGAACTTCGTAAAGAATTACTTTGTAAAAGTCTCAAATAGAATTCTGCAAACTGCTTCCCAAATCAACAAAAAACTACTAGATAAATCAATATTTCACCATTTGTATTTATTTCTCATTTTCCAAATGACTGCTGCACCATTTATGCCACTGTACCAGACATTTCATTAAAATCTGCTATTTCAGTGTTACCATGAAAAGAATTACATTAATTTCAAGCTCCATAAACAACAGAGGTAGAAATAAATCACTGCTTACTACAGAAGACAATATTGAAGAAAAAATATTCTTAATATGAAAGTAACTATCCTGAAACAAACAATTCACCACAAGAAAATATGTATTTACCCTTTAATAACATTTTTAAATATATGTGTAGCTAGAACAACTTAAATATGCATTCTTTGTCAAATACTCCTGATTTCTGGACTTACTCTGTACACTGAACGTAAAGGCATAAAGCTTCCTAAGTATACAGCATTAAAATCTGCTTGCTTATATAAGCAACTACATGAAACTATATACATACAATTGACTACTAGCCCATTGTGCAACACAAGACCAGGCATCTTAGATCTACTAAAAAAATTAAAAGTCCATCAACAACCAACTAATGTTTACTTTTACATAGCTACTGCAATTAGATACACTTGTGAACAAAAGAGGATTTTGTGCATGTGTGTGGTGGGTTTTTATGAAAAATAATACCTCAGTGTAAGTTAAATGGTGGCACTGCACACAAAAAAAAAGGAAAAATATGTGAAGAAGCACTTACTTTGCAGTGATACGATTATTTGCAAAAATATTGCTCTGTGTTATTTTTCACTCTAGGGTACAATGCAGTGCCAAAAAAATGGCACCAATTTACAATTAGCATTGAGACAACTCACAAGTCAAACTGCTGGTATATACACCTCCTTCCCAATCTCTGAACATACAACTACACACAATGAAAACATCAGTAAGACTGATGACTTGCTCTACTATTTAAATTTGCAATGACTACGTTGGTAATAAGCATAAAGATCCATTCATTTCCATCAGATACATGAAATTTTAAGGATCTCCTATACCAATTTAAATGCAGAGTGAAGTACTTCAGATTGGTTTTCCTAGTATGTCACTTATATGACCTAAATAAACTTCTGTAACTTTTGAATTTGTCATCCGTGGATTATAAGAAAATTTACAAAAGTCTATGTTAATTTGATCATACTTTAAGGGATCAGATGTGTGAAAAAAGAGAAATGCAATGACAAGAAAATGTCAAAGGATGAAAGGAGGTCACCCACAAGCACTTTTAAAAAGTAAACTTTTTTCTGGCTTCCCAGTATGTACGCAATATAATTTAGGCCATATCTAAATAATGCAACAGATTATTTCCACATTAATTTTTGTTGCTGTGCTTCTCTGCCATTAAGAACCTGGAAAGAGCATGCTATAGCTCCCGCTTGGCCCCAGTGCTAAAGATTTTGCTCATGTGACAAGCTGGATGATAGAAAACGTATATCCAGGTTTTGCTCCAACATGCAGTTGAAACATTTCTAGAGATATCGAACCAGAGAGCTTTTGGGCCCCAATATTTAGTGACAGCCTCAGAATCCCTTCAACAAAGGACTAAAAGTAACTGACTACTGACTATGAAAGAATTCAACTTATCCCATTATATAGAGCACCCCTGACATTTAGCCTTCATACACTACTTGGTTCCAATGATATGATCCCCATATATGCTGAAACAATAGTATCATAAAAAGACAGTTGTATATGTAATGAAAATATGAGAAATTCCTAGATCTTATATTGCTACAATAATGGATAAATTGGAAATAAAAAACCACAATCCTAACTCAACTTTTAATGTATCTACATGGAATCCAGAAGTGATAAAGTTACATAAGCAGAATTTCAGAAATGCCTAAGGGTGAGATTCAGACTAAAGATTAAGACAATTAAGATGGTATCTACATATAAGACAGCCGTATAGTATCTGTAAGTGAATTAAATCTAATCAATACAATCAATCCAGCTAACCAGATACAGATATCTACATTAGGATGAGATGAATAGCTCTCTAGATCCCACAGAGTAGCACTGCACTGATGCTAACAGAGGTTGTGCATGTATACACTTGGATACGTATCTTGCAGGGAACCTTATAGAAACGTCAAGACTTAGGCAACAATTTGTACAGACTGCAACCTTTAAATGACATTTGAAAAACTGTGTTTTTCAGTCTTAAATTACTTCAATTTTTTTAAAATACATCTTAATATGTGTGTTTAGGTGGAGATAAAAAAGAAATTTAGATTATATTAAGGGAGATAACATGACGAAAATTGGCTAAGCTAATAATTTCAGATGAGGTAGTAGTTGAGTAGTCCATTTTAATATTACAGTGGTCCTTAGGTTCTACATCTGGCCCACCTCTCTATTCTCACTGATGCATATTTAGCTTGCTTACATTTCTTATAGCTATTACTGATTGGCAATTTTTACTAGACTAAATATAATCACTGAACTGGCTAAACTAGGCTGCTGAGAAAGAGCGCTCTTAGAAGAATTAGTAATGGAATTGTTTCACTGCCCACAAAATGACTGATCGGAACGCATAGATACTAACCAGTGGAAAATGTTGGAACTCTAACTGTCCAGCCAGTTTCACTGATGATCACATGAGGGTGCATTCTTGAGTCTTCTCGAAGATCCCACACCAGCAATGAACCATCTATTGTTCCAGCAAAAACGAACGTTGTTTTATTGGGACTAAAGCAGCAACATACCACCTGTTAAGCAGTAAAAATATGCATGGTTGATATGACACAGGTCAATGATTTGATAAGCCTGAAATATGTTTGCTCTTCCTACACATGCAAATCCAGAAAAGACAGATTAAAGGTGCTTGCAGTATAAGGACAATTTATTTAAAAGGGAAGTAGGATACAAGACTTTTCAGTAGGCCTTCCTTTTTCAAGACAATTGCTGTGTAATCTGCATCTACTGCCAGAAAGCTGAAGGGGGTGATTCAACTGTATGATAGTGATGGGTAGGGAGAAGTCCTGACAACATCTGAACCAGTTGTTTTACTTCCATTCACTCTTCAACCATGAAATGAAGTCAAAATTTAAAAAACAAAACACCATGACCATTACTACATTCTAGTACTGGAGCACAAAATGGAATGAGAATAGTGGTCACTAGGCTCAAATGTGTTTCTCAAAAGCTGACATAGCTTGCAGCAAGACATGAAAACAAAATATACATAATAAAGCCTTCTATTCAATGGGCAAACACACAATGTTATTAAAACATACCTCTGAGTCACATATTAAAACCTTCTGAGGACTGGAGGGCTGCCAGATGTTCCAAACGCATATGATGCTCTTTCTGTTCAGTAGACCAACACCTGCCTTTTCAGGTAATCCATGAACAGAAAGTAGTGTCTGCCTCTGAACTTGAGAGACATATAGGTAGGATATTTTTCGGTCTAAACCATTAAAAAAAATCAAGAAATAAAAGCAATAAATAAAAAATTCATTGCAGATGAAAAAGCATATTTAGCTGCTACAGCAACAACCAAAGAAGCTAAGACGTAATTATGAAGATTATTTCTATTAACAGAGGGTTGCTTTCGATGCTATACAAGAAAAAAAGAGGGACTAGAGAAGGAATCAAAAAAATTAGAAGTAGAGAAGAAAGTGAAAAGGGTGAGAGCCAGGAAGTTAACAGAATAATTATTCTGGGTATAAGCAAGCCAATCTGATCTGACATCAGTATATATACCGAAAATTAAGCTAAGTCTCAAACAGGAAACAGCACAGGCCAGGCTTTTTCTAGTTCATCTCATGTGTTCATGTTAGAATACATATGGCTTTGTGTTATAATAGGTCTTCCTAACACAATTACAGAGGCTTTATTGTTCATTTTTCTTTTCATCTGAACATGTACTATTTATATGGGAAGATACAACTGCAGTTCAAATATATCAGGCTATGTTCTCCCTGTTCAAGAATCTTGCTTTATTTGCAACTTTAGTCCTACTATCAGCATGAAGGGCCTAAATGAAATTATACCCCTTGGGATGGCCCTTGAAAACAGGGGCAAAAAATTACATGCAGGGCACCCCTATATCATGCTAATCACTGGCTATATTTCTGGTTTCACAGCAGCTAGGATGCTCTTATGTTCCCTATGTGAAACCAATCTGCACAGCGTTACATCAAGATTAGCACACCTAAGAGAGAAGTGGGCTTTACATCATTGATATATCCTGATATGTGCTGTTTGCACTTCATGACAAAGAGCATGGTATTTTGCATAAGGAAGAACAGTTCTCACTGTATACTAAAAGGTGTAGAATAAAGTTCCCTTACCATGGAGGAATGGCTGGTTAGTATTTAACTGGAAACAGCTATCACTAATAGACAGACTGGTTTGTCGAGATCTTAGTTTCCACCTGGGTTGTGTTGCAACTTGATCTTCCTCTATCAAAACAGCAATCACCTTTCAAACATAATTACATTTATAGAAATAAAAGGGTCATCTTATCTTTCAGCTTTGTTATTTGTAGCTTTCTAAAGTATGTGGATTGATTTAATAAACCTTTATCAACTCTCTTGTTAATTTTATATCTTTGCAAATACAGCTTTACAGACATAAAAGTTGCACAGCTCTGGTTCCACTCCGTTGCAGAGAGATAATAAGTATTAAAATAATTTATTTAAATTAGTCAGAACAAGTACTGTAAGTGATCTATCACACTGTATATTTATGTACACAACTCATAAGGGATATTAAGTACATAAGTGTACCTGGCAAGCAGACCGGAGGAAATTTGCTAATCTTTGTGAATCAATTTTAGGTGTTAGAGCTCCGTTCACGGACATATCCTGGCTGTTTATGGGACCTAAGAAAAAAAGAAAACCAAACTTCAAGCTTCAAAAAGGGATCAATTAAGAAAACCCTAAGAACAATTTAATTTTTAAGCAAGAGGAGTGGCAGGAACCAACTTCTCTTCAGCAGAAGTAACAGTACTGAAGAACAAGATCTGCTGGGGAATCATACCTGCTGCCAAGAGAAACAGCAACCCAGAAGGAAGAAACTATTTCTGCCACTTATTCTCCATCCCCTCCACAAGGAAATTCAGATAGGTAGCAGCTTACTACCAATCTGCCACATTACAAATTCTGACAATTAATGGGTACAAAAGAGAAAGTTTACATGCATACATCCATAAATTAAAGTGTTCTTCACCTCCAGATACAAGGACACTTTCTCCTGGATGCTGTGTCCATTTCTCCAGTGTCTCAACTTCCTCAGTCTGAATGTCTCTCTCAAGATTGTCCTCATTACACTGAACATATGCCTAAAGTAGAAAGATAAAGTGGTCAATATAGGGGTGATAGAGCTAAGAAGGACAGCACATAACTAAATAGAACTTAAACAGTCATTTTAAAACTCATGTGTTCAACCTCTTCTGTTTGTAAATTCAGACCTAAGCATACTGACACAGTATCACTATTTTGTGCATGCACATTTTACCACATTACACACAAGAGTGCCAGACCTACTGCAAAAATACAGAATGTCTTACATGATGTGTAAACACTTATCCCAGCGTACTTGGGACAATGAGCCACAGACATATGAAAGTGTTTTAGAAAATGGGGAAGGAACATGAGAGAGTCCTCTTCTAACACAGAAAGGAAATGGCCTGTCTGACCAAAAGTTTTTATATCATTGCATTATAGTAATTAAGGCTTAGAGCTGAAAATTTTTAATTTATTACTTTATTGTCCCATTAGCTTTAGTAACTTTCTTTTGTAAGGAAAATTATTTTCCAGAACAAGAATCAGACTTTCAGGATTTAAATATTACTACATATCTTTTACCCACCTGCTTAGTGTTCATTTTACCAAAATTCCTGATATACATGTCGTACTCATTTACAGGAGGCAAATCCAATAACGAAAAACTAACTGAGAAGTCCAGATCAATTAGTGGGAGAAGTTCTGAATACCGTTTTCTTTAGAATGAATTACAAGAGAGAAACACAAAAATGATTAAAACCAAGTATTTGGTATTCCAAAGGAAAAATAACCTGATTCTGTACAGTACCAGAGATCTAACAATCCATTGATCTATGCGATTTGAAGCTGTACCAAAATTAATTGACAGATAAAAATATATCAATAGAAGTACATATAATATTTTTACGAGTTCTCATTTAATGTTATGCTGAGATAATTATCATATTTGAAAATGCAATACTGATTGTAAAAGGCAATCTTATGTGGTTTATTATTAAACCCAAACTGTCAATGCCTAGCACGATCATCTTGCCTAAGTATTCAAGTGCTGTTCTGTAAGGCAACAGATGAATGTCTGTTTCTTCCTATAATTAGGATGATGATGGCTAATTCTCCTAATCTTATTGTATTAACTTATAAAGCATGTACACGTATAAGTGATATAAAGATCATCTATGATGTCCTGGTTTTGTTATTTTGTTATTCCTCACAAATAAAACTATGTATTTTGATTCTTAACTGGAAAACAAGTCTACCTTCATATACTGAATATGACAAGTAAAAAGCATTTGTGTGATATTAAAATATTTATGTGATGTTACTTATTATCATCTGGGGAGGAACAACCCCATACACCAGTAGAGGTTAGAGGTTGAACTGCTGGAAAGCAGCTCCATGGAGAAGGACCTTGGAGTCCTGGTAGACAATAAGTTATCCATGGGACAGCAATGTGCCCTGGTGGCCAAGAGGGCCAGTGGCATCCTGGGGTGCATTAAGAAGAGTGTGACCAGCAGGTCGAGAGAGGTTACCCTCCCCCTCTACTCTGCACTGGTGAGGCCTCATCTGGAGTGTTGTGTCCAGGTCTGGGCTCCCCAGTTCAAGAGAGACGGGGAACTTTTGGAGAGAGCCCAACGGAGGGCTACAAAGATGATTAAGGGACTGGAACATCTCTCGTATGAGGAAAGGCTGAGAGACCTGGGGCTGTTTAGTCTGGAGAAGAGAAGGCTGAGAGGAGACCTTATCAATGTCAATAAATATCTGAAGGGCGGCTGTCAGGAGGATGGAGCCAGTCTCATTTCAGTAGTGCCCAGTGATAAGACGACGGGCAATGGGCACAAACTGCAGCACAGGAAGTTCCACCGCAACATAAGGAAAAACTTCTTTACTGCGAGGGTGACGGAGCACTGGAACAGGCTGCCCAGAGAGATTGTGGAGTCTCCTTCTCTGGAGACCTTCAAAACCTGAACGGACACGTTCCTGTGCAACCTGCCCTAGGTGATTGGGGGTTGGACCAGATGATCTTCAGAGGTCCCTTCCAACTCCTACCATTCTGTGATTCTCTGATCAACTAAAAAGAGACTCCTTCTACTCCATTTGTACGGATGCGTGGATAATGAAAAGACAGTCAATCTTTGTCACAATTCACATAGCTATCTATCTACTTTAATGTCATAAAACTGTTACGATATTTTAAGAGTTAACTGCTTGAATTACATACAGATGTCTGTTTACAAATTAATTCCACACTCCTGCTGTAGTGCAGATTCCCTGAGAATGAGAAAATTTTTGTAATCTCCCTTTCTCTTTCTTGCACTTTCATGTTTTTTAAATATAGTTAATATAAATACAATCCAGATACAATTATGGGTCTGTAGCAATTCCATATCTAAACAGTCTTACAGATGCATATTCTAGTTGCAGTTTCTTCTCAGTAAGGCAGTTTTTGAAAAGGAAAAAGACTAGAGCAACACGAGCTGGAATTTCTCCTCCAGTATTTTAGGTTGAATTTTTTTTTTATGCATAAGGACAATTTTCACATCTCCTTTTCATCTCTTGATGACATCTATTGCATTTTCTTACCCACATTTTTTTAATTCTACCTCCTAATACACCACCTCTTCACAAACATTGTGGGCACAGATTGCTCAGATCGAATTCAAGCATATGAAAGTTGCTTCCTAATTACAAATCTTAATGATACATGCAGACAAATCCATAAAATAAATTAATAAGCTTCATATTAATACTTACAACTCCAAAGTACCACAGCTCATTTATGGGACGCTTTCAGTCTATTTACTGGTAGCAACGTATTACCACAGCATTAAATGCCACAAACCCTTTCTCTTTCCGTGAAAATGTTAGTTATGCTGACAGGCTACATACGTTGTTAGCATGTACACAAAATTATATACATAGTCATAACCAGTAATAGTACATAATCAGCAGAGGCTGACAAACATTTCATAAGATGTTTCAGACAGATGCCTTCCTGAATTTCCTCATCTGTCTCCACTGTCCAGAGAGGAAGCCTCTCTAGAACTCACGTAAAATTTGGGCGTATAAATTTAGGCAAGGTGAATTAGACAGTCTGGACAATAAGAGTTCCCTTAAGTGAAGATTAGCCACTGATGTGCAGCCATGAAGCAGTGGAATCTAATATTATCAACAGAATTTAATATTCTTGCTTTATGCATCCAATTGATGTGACAGAAAATTAGAGAGATAGATATACGTATACAGTGCTTCAGATAAATCTGGAGCTCCTGGCAAGTTCCACAAGAAACAGGCATCAATTTGTTTCTTTAATACAGAACTGTCTTAGATGTCTCAAATCTAGATCAATTTTAGATCAGCACCAGCATGTTTTTACACCAACTGGTGTTATCCCTGAAAGGGAACATACTATTTTTGCAACAGTATGTACCATATAGAGTCTTGATTATTTCAAGAAATTACAGTTATGCAGAACCCTGAGAGCAGCTAAAAGGCTTGCTCTTTAGTACTACAAGTCAATATCTAATTAAGTGACTGAAGAATCATACGAAGAAATTGCAATCCTGGCACCTCATTCTGTAATAAAATTATACATGTAAACTGATATATAGACAAATTTCTGTTATAAAAGGACATGTAGCAAAGCCTGTAAATTGTATTTCCTTAAGATGCAATTACTGTTAGCTTACAAAATAATACTTGACTCTAAAAACCTCAAACTTATAAACTTCACATATTTCAAGTATAACGAAAAAAATTACATCTCAGACAGTGAGTCACCATTTTGCGTGGATTATTTAAAACACACTTACTTCTGCTTACTAGCCATACTTCGGCTACTTTGTCGTTGGTTTGCCATTTGAAAATCCATGAATATTCCACAAAAAGAGTTTCTGACAGAAGTGTACTGCCTTTCTGTGATATTATAAAACATTGTTAGTGTTATAATTCACACTTTACAGTGCATTAAAATGTAAAGCAGTAATTCTAAACAGCAATAGATTTATTATGACACAGTTACTAAAAGTTACTAGTTTGCACATTACACAATATGCTCTAGCATAGTTATCAGTACAATAAGCTTCACTTCTTAACTTCAGTAACGGGACAGCATTTTTACTTTATGTAGTCCTTTACTAATCAATTCAGAATGACTGACCATTGTAATTTTTATTTTAAAAGACTATAATGCAGAAAGTGCCTCCTTCTTCCTCCTGCCACTAGCAGGTCCCCTGTTCCCCTGTGTACAGTAAAACGCTCTATGACCAATTCTAAAAATCATATCAAATTCACACAGACTACACCATGTGCATGTTACACCTCTAATAAGAATTTATCACTACAGCTAGTGGAGAACCTCATCAACACAAACTTAACTGATGCCACTGGATGAATAAGCAAAACATTGAAAACTGTTGCTTTAAAAGCCACAGTTAATGGCACAACTACAATATCTGATGTCATGTCGATTTTACTCCCCTTCCTGGCCAGGTGGTAGCTAATTGACCTTAATATCCAACTTCCAGTCAGGACCAATGGTGTTTCACCTCCTCAGAGGAAGACTGCCTTTTTCAATAATACTTGTAAAATGCTTTTAAACTTCTAAAAGTCATTACCAGAATGATCAACAAGCTGTTTTAACCAGATGAGATCAAAACAGACAGTATTGTGTAATTAACAATGAAGCAATAAGTGCTACAATTCAGAATTTAAAAATCTGATTCCGTATTAGAATTCCATCTTGTTCAGTAGAACTATAGCATTAATGGAATTCTTGTATTGATTCCATACTGTTTATTAGAAAAATAATAATAATTGCATAAATCTGCAAGAAGAAATTCATATTACAGTATACTGGTTCTGCCTTGCAATGACTTAACTGAAAATCTACTGATACCGTAAAGACTTACAGAAAGTCCATGCTATTCTTCCGTGACTGTAATAACTTTGTATGAATTACAATTAAAAGCTGTTTAAGATTCTTTTGCACAATGATTCTATACTGTTGTTCACATGAGTGGAGAGTGCCAAGGGGAACGACAGCTGTAGTTTGTTAAAGAAGTAGATCTGGCACTCACAGGTATCAGATCAACTGAACACAAAACAACAATTCCATAGTTCAATTTCAGAAAAAAACCCACATTTTAAAAGTGATATAGAACTATATATTCAAGCAGCAACTGTATTTCTCTTGCCTTGCCACCCAAAGCAGTGGCTTCAACTTTGCTTAAAAGAAAAAGGCGAATTAATGTCACCGGAAACCCCAAACTGTTCTAGCACTCCTCCATTTTTCAAAATCCAGACTCTCATATCCTCCTCTTACCCAAAATAAGAGGTATTAAATGTCCGTCTGTAAATTTTTATACTTCACATTTTAAATGATTAGTAATGCCTCTGAATCATTCTTTAGAAATGTGAAAGTTACACTGCTCACCACAAACCTGAGTGACTCACCCAGAGGACCAGATTTCTGCCTTCCGGCAGACTTCTAGAAAAAGTGGCCTGTTTACTTGTAAGTTGTATGTGTTACTCATACATTTAATAAAAAAAGACTGGTAGCTAGTCACATACCCATGATTGGTTCCTTTTTTTCATTTTCAGTTTTCTTTGGCAGTGAAGTACAAATTCTATCATTTTCTGCACTAATTGCTCTACGAATTTCTTCAATTTCTGATGTTCTGGAAAATGGAATCTCTCTTAGGTTTTCTTCTGCATCTCCTTCTTCACCACTTTTGTCTTCATCATCATCAAAGTCATCTTCATAATCCTTTAAAAGTAACAGGACTTTCAATAACTAATAAACATGGATTATAAATATATTTTTCAAGATCTTTTTAAGAAAATATAAAATGTTGTCAAAATAAAATTCTCATATAGATGGCTATAAATCACCTGACTGAAAGGTATTTTAAAATAAGTGTTTGATAAAAAGCAAATAGCATGTTTTGATTGTGCGGTAATTTTAATCAAGAGAAGACAATCCAACAGGTGGTGTTCCTCAGTGCCCAAAATAGATTCCTTTTTTTTTTTTTTTTAATATCCTAAAGTAGGAACTGTATGTTTAGTAGGAGAATTATGTGCTCTTTAAAGACATAAAATGACAGTGTTCAGTGGTATAAACGCTTCACAAATATATGAAGTTGTTCATTTGGTAGTTTTAATTCAAGCTGCCCTTCCATGGTAGGCTCAAATTTACTAAACTACCACACTTACCTGTTTGCAAGTCCATGCATGAGGCTCATACTTTAATAATTCTCTTAACTAAGACATTTCATCTCATGCTAAAATAATCACCCAACACAAAGGATATGAACAAGTCTTAAACCTGCTCATTTCTCTCCACTGAATGGTAAAGGGCTACTATAGTTAACAGCTCAACAGTGGACATCACTCCTAATGTAAGTGGAGATAAATTCTAGCTTCGCTAAACAAAGATATAGCTGGTTCAGCTAGCCATGAAAGCACATTCAGCACACTCTTCTATCTTAATAACGTGAAAGTAAACAAAATAGAGTTAAAAGTAAAGAATTCAATTAAACAAATTAGTGAAGGGACTGCTGTGTGTCAATATTTTTTCTACTATATTTTTGCAAAGAAAAACGAGTCTCTTTTTTCCTCTTGAAACTGATTATTTGCTTCTATTATTTTAAAAAAATCAGCATTTTTCACATCAAATCATTTAAATAATTGAAATCCAGAGAGACAAACAGAACATCTTGTGAAGACTTCAACTCAAAAGCAAAAGTTGGTTCCCACACCCTGATGAACACTAAGTAAATGTATAGCAGTTTCTACATACCATTTTAGTTACTTATTATCTACTGTTAACCAAGTTAAGGTCACTGTCACCAAAAAAGAAGTAGTAAAAAACATGTAACATCCTGTAATTTTGACTTCTGTGAATAAAGTTAATCAGCATTTTGATACTTGAGAAAAGGACAATTGTATGCTTTTACTTACTTCAAAATCATCTTCATAATTTGCTGAAAAGTTATCAAATCCTGTATCTGAATTATAGGTGTGTGTATCTTTCATTTCCTAAACAAGAAAAAGAAATGAAACTGTTACATAATCTTACAAAAAAAAATTTAAATCTTTATCTGCCAAATCTTACCATAAAGATAGATGAATAATTGTTCTTCTCAGGTATTTTTACATTTTCAAGCAAACATAAAACAAAATTCAGTTTAGAAATATAAATAAAAGCATATTAACAAGTGATAATTGCTGATGTAAAATAATAAAAAAGGAACACAAAACAGAACTCAATCCTATCTTGGGAAGACCAACTGTTTTCCCACCAGTATTTTTACTGAGAAAGACATAAAAACTGCTGTGTTGCCTATAATTTCAGTAGTACACAGTAGCTCTTATGATGGTGTAACAACAAAATAAGACTGTTCTACTTTTTCAAGGATTACACAAAATTATCCATATACCTAAGTTATACTGGGGGACTCAATCTGTTAATAAAACAGCACAGATGTTGGAACATCATGTACCCTAAACAAACATAAAGCTTAAAATGACACACACTGATCCATCCAATCTTTAGTTAGCTTCTTCCTTCAATAGCCTCTTCAAAGTCATAGACTAAATTGTCCATGTGTAAGGGTTTTCAACAGACTTCAAAATGGAAATAAATGTGAGGTTTTATGAAAAGTACCAGCACATCTATTACCTGCTTCTACACTTAAAACTAAAGGACAGCAGCTGGTTGTAAAACGCGAAGTTAGGCACACTTCTAATCCTTTCATGATTCTTCAAGAGCTAGAGCCACATCGTTTTCACAGAATGTAGTACTTTCTGAAGTGTTAAGGACATATATAGCAGTAAACAGCTTCTATGGATACCTTACTTTTCACAGTCATCAGACACCTAGAAGTAGGACTACAGTACTTCAGTCTTTCTGGTTGCTGCTTTTTGTCATTTCTCAGATCAATCTTTGGATCAAGAATAAATTATATTAGTCAGGTTGTCCATCCAGGCGAAACTGGGCAAAATTTCCCTGATTTGTTCTGCCTGCAAGGTTGCAGGTACCCAACAGTAACTAATCGATGTAGAATTTTTTAAAAATCCTTATTCCATTAGTCAGACACATGTAGTAACACACCCTTAAAGATAGTTATACTCTTTATTACCTTACTATAATAATCTCTGAGTATGCCTATACAGCTGTCATTTTTATTAATAACACATGTACGTTTATAACATTGCATCTGTTACACATGTAGTTTTTACACACTAAAAACCACCAGCTGTCAGTAGTTGTCAAAATCTTACTGTCCTCATAAGAACCTCCTATATTCTCATCAGAAATCAGAATCATCCTATCACAGCTAGGTTCCTACTTTAAAGAATATAAGGAGAACATATTGTCAATACGAAGCAGGATTAGGAAGTCATGCTGGAATACCTGGATGACTGTGGCATTTGGAGTAACAAATATATTAAGAAACTCAATACCATAAAGTGCAAACCCATGGAGTTTTATTTAATTATCCCTGTTGAGTCAGTTCTTGAGTAGGGATCTCACCCTCCTAGGTTTTCTCCTATTAGCAATGAAGACAGAGAAGATAATGGAAAAGGAGACCAAATATAAAAGGACTGAACTGCCTATCTCCCTCCATAAACTACACATGAAATTTAGGGAAATTTAGGTCCTCACCACAGACAATGTACTCCTAAAGGTAAGCTGAATCTGGGCCTTAAAGATTAGCATCAATGCTAGCTGCTACCTGGAACTTCAGCTGTTGGAAACAACAGAGGAAGAGAACAGTTTGAACATATTAGTTGATGCAGGATGACTGCTAGCCACAGTGGTAGGAGCCATGAAGACTAAATGTAAGAATATGTCAGAAAGCTACTTCTTTCAGGAACAGGTAAGTGTTTATGTCATGTACAGTATTACACAAGGCACTGATGAAAATTCACATTCAGTACTGTGCTCAACTCCAGTCACCCATATTCAAAAAGAATTAATGCAAATTGAAACAGACAAAGCGACAGCTGCTAGAATGATGACACGTGTGCAGAATTTAGCTTGTATAGGTCAGGAAAATTAAGTCAGAGAAGAAACAAACATGCTTCCTATAAGCTCATTTGGGAAGAAAACCATAAAAAAGTATTTGAGCTAAACGCTACGGCTAAAGCAACAATAATGGAAACGTATTGGAAATTAGAAGAAAAGATTAACAGATGCCTTAGAGCATCCTTGAAAGAGAAGTATTTCTGGCATGAAAACAGCCAGGTTTTAATAGAAGTTAGTATGGTTTTGAAAGATACATGGCTGAAAGATGTATGGCTGCCCATAGCATGAGAATATGGAAAAAGAGATCTTCATTAGGTACTACTACTTTTTCCTAGATCAGGACCATAATCCTACAACATTCCAAAGCAGAATTTGGATTTTGGGGGATGGCTACAAATTGTTGAAAATATGACAAAATATTTTAAAACTTTTTATGGTAAAATTAGGCTGTATCTGCACAGAGCAGTCCAAATAAACCCAGGTCTATACAGCTTGCACTTCAGATTTGCTGAAAATTTGATTCTGTCTGCACCTGTACATTATAAAAAATACCTTCCTCTTTCTTATGGCAACTGTTTTTACAGACACAGAATAATAGAATCATAGAATAGTTTGGGTTTGAAGGGACCTTTAAAGGTCATCTAGTACCTTGCTAGCTGTATTTTAGTTGGCTTACACTACATACTATTTGCCTGTCAGCTCTTTATAGTAAGGAATAATATACTTTAGGTATGTCTAGATGATTTTTTTTTTACATGTCTAAGCTCTTCCCACTTATTAAGAATTATTTTTTCAAGCATAGAAGATATTGAAATACAGTTGAATAGATGGCTATCTTCAATGCTTAGCAAATTTATACAGAATAAATCAATCTTCTAACGTTGTATCCAGAAAGAAGAGATTAGGAGATACCTAAAGACCAATACACATAAATCTCATCTTATCTTAGAAAACCATTACATTGAAATACATATTGTAATTGTTATTAAACCCAAGAAAAAAGCAACATTCTAAGTTCCAAAGCGAAATAGTTTTACCTCTTGTCTGGTGTCTCTTGCCTCTTCTTCAATGAGTTTTCCTTTATCTTTTACAATCCTATGGAAAAAGAGAATATAAATTTTATTTGTTAACTCAGAAGCAAGCACTAGTTTTGTTTTGGGTTTTTTGTTTGTTTTAGAAAAATAAGTCTTTTTTCCTGAAAGGGAAAAAAACTGTTGAAAATTTCTAATAAACTGAAATATTTCTACAACTAGTTTTATAGATTTCTATTTATGATACCAAATGATAATGAAACAGCCAAGTGATTAATCAGCTAAGAACTGCAAAAACCTTGTCCAAATTTAATGCCTATAATTGCATCAAAATGGAAGAAAAAGTAAGGACCAAAAAAACTATTAAACCCACACATCTATTGGATGTATTAATAATCTGCAGCAAACTGGAGATGAAGATCAGGTTGGTGTAATGTGCTTTAAAGCTATAAACCATAGACTGAAATTCAAATCTGGTCTTTCATTCAGGGTTTTTTTTTATGAGGACTATACAATCAGGGTCAGAGAGCAGGAGAAAATCAACAACCAGCTCTGCTCCTTAACAATCTCTTTGATTATTTTATAAGTAGAGTATTGGACTTCAAAAAGAGAATGTTCTGACCTCTTAAGTAAGAGGGTGTTCATATGTACTGCTGTTGAGACTGACAAACATCAGGAAAGGCAACAGCAAAAATAAAAACTTGGCTGGATCTTCTCATAACGAATCAGAATGATTCAACATCGACAGTGCTTGAGGCCAAACCAAGGTTTTGGGACATCCCAATAAACCATATTGCCTTCCTTGCCATTCAGAAATGGCTAATGTTTTTCCCAGATATACACAAGCAACAACTCCCTCACAATACCCATCAGCAACAGCTTCAAAAATAACCTGTATGTTTGGCACTGCTTGACACAGTTGAGCGCTGCTGCTAGGAAGCATCCCAACATATGTATTCTGAAGTATTTTTTTTTTTCTTTTGTACAGGAATACACTTCCACAATGACAAATTCACTACAACTAAAGTGGTCTGTCCTGTGCTTAAGAAACAGTAGTAATACTCAGACAATAGCGGTAGTGACTTCACCATCTCTGTCAGTGTCCCCAGAAGCCGGCATGCCAGTCTTCTATTTGGCTAGGAAGCTAAACTAGAGTTTAAGAATGAGAACTGTGACTGACAACATACCTGGAGAGTTACACTGCAGAAAGTATAGGCATTTCACATCGCTGAAGCATTAAAGAATGCAAAATGAACTAGAATATACAGAGAACTTCTGCAAGATTTTATATTTGCTAATAGCAAAACTTAGAAATAACATCCTGAAATTTTACTGATCCAACTGAGGATGACCTGGACCTTTCCCTTTCACATACAACAGTAAACTTGCTATATCTATCTAATATTTTAGATACCAACCAGAGTAGGAACTAAGTAGAGATATTAAAGTTCGAATAAACAATATAAGAGAGCCCTATGTAGTTCATCATGAACCCTACATGTGTCCATGTGACTGCATAGTGAATTTCCAGGTGGTACAATACAGCATTTTTGTCTCCCAAACGAAGTGCCCAGATTAATATATATGTAATTTGCAAGGACTGCAAAATATCTCTTGCTATCCTGGGATAGAAAAAAAATAATAAATGGAATACAAATACATACATTTTTATATTAATCCTCTTAGAGGCAAAACACAGATTTTTTTTTTTTTTAATTGCTATAGTATCGTACGAAGGGCCTATGAAAAAAAATATATTCAGCCTAGATATTTGAGATCAAGAATCCATGCTTACTGTTTTGGTGGTGACTGAATCTTAGTAGACACCATACAGTAGATACTTATTTTAAATCTCTGAATTTACCTTACATGCTGATGGCTCATTTCTTCTTGAATCCTCTCCTCCTTTTTGTATTCGTTGTTCTGTAAAAGAAGTCACAACATTCATGTGTCATAAATGCTGGGAGGAAATATGTATATGAACCTGCATTAGTAATAGTGATAGTGAACAGTAAGAAAGGTTTCTAATGAATTATTTCAATAACTTCTGTTATTTTCATTCATGTATCATAAATGCTGGGAGGAAATATGTATATATCACATTAGTAATAGTGATAGTGAACAGTAAGAAAGGTTTCTAATGAATTATTTCAATAACTTCTGTTATTTTATTAAAAGTCATTGCTTGTAAGAAGTTCAGTGTACGAACTAACATCATACTAATCTCCTCCTAAATACGGTAAGCAAAGAAAATAAACATCCATAAAAGATACACTATACAAATAATAGGAGCTTCTCCTAAAATATTAAATATTTGGGAGTGAAGTTTGGCTACATCCCCTTCTGCAGTACATTTCAGAAAGGAAACAAGATGGGATCTTGAGTCTTCTTTGCTTAACAAAACCTTGTAATGCCTTACTAGAGCAAATTCCGGCTTTTTTATAGGATACCTTCACATTAGTATGTGAAGCTTAAACAAAAAAACAAAATCAAACAAAAAAACGCCAAAACCCCCAATGCTTAAGGGCTGACCTGCGTAGGCTGCATACAAAGAATGAGATTTTAATAGTATGGGACTGCAACAACTCACATCAGTTGGACTCATGGACAGAGAACAGTCTCAGGCCGTTTTAATCCCAGGGGCTTGACTCTTAAAATTCCGCATTATGAAGGTTTGCCTAAGTTTGGAAATGTAGTCAACAGGTTCTTTAAGATAATGGTGCTTTTCTCTATCCATGAACACCACAAAAAGAAACATAACTCTGAGACAAAAGCATCAGTGAGTATATTCAGCAACAGCTACTTGAGTAAAGTTCCAAGGAAGTCAAATCTTGAGCAAGCTCCTGATGGACTTTGAATTCTACCACAGAAAGTCAGTTACAGGAATCACTTGTGGTGGGCCCCTATACTGAAGATGCCTAGTATTTTCACTAGAAAATATATTTCTGAACTTTTCTTTGAGAAGCTTACACGTTAACTCCTTAGGCAGCAGAAGAAACTACCCTAGACCACCTGAATTGTTCTATGTTCAATAAAAGCTATTTGATTTTAAGAATTACAAATTACTATATATTTCTTCTCTCATTCTTGTAGAATGAGTACCTGTATTATAAAAACCAGTAAAAAATGTTAAAGTTTTGATTAAGTCTCTAGAATATAACATCGTGCTCTGTATTAGAAACATTAAAGATATTCTAACGGTTCAGAAGTAGAGGCAAAAAACATGTGTCTACTTGCGAGTTAGATACCCATGCTCCCTTTATAGGCAACACTGAAAACAGCTTTTATTAAAATGGTATTTTTTTTCTATAAAGGCAGTCAATACATTTTTAACAGACCTCTAGCCTAATCTCATCTCCACTTCAAAGTGTTAGTAAAAATTTCAAAAGTCATAGCAATAAACAATTTTATAAATAAAATACATTTCTAACATATGGACAAGTTTCCCGTTGAAATTTCATGGAAGGAACCAGCTCTAGCTTAGGACACTTAAATGCAGATGTAGTATTTTAATCTAGCACTTTAGCCTCAAATTTCAGAAAATGTTGACTTATAATCCTAGTATTTTTATTATTTGCCTTATCAATGATGATATATCAATAATTAAAGGAAGTTATAAGGTAATGATTTAAAGCCTTAACAAAACTAACCCTTAGATCACGCTTCTTTCTTTCATGTTCTCTGCTTTTTACTCTCTCATTAGCTTCTGCTGGTTGTCCTCCTCTGTCTCCATGGGAAGATCCCTCTTTAGATCTCTTTGATTTATGTTTTTCTTCCTCTTCCTTTTCATAACGTTTATGACTCCTCTCTTTTGAAAGCCTCTCTTTTCCTGGCCTAATGGAATATTCTTTTTTTTCTCTGTGTCTTCTTTCTCCCCCTTTATCCAGATCTTTCTGTAACTTGTGTACATGTTCACCTTCTTCAGCTTTGTAGGCTAAATATTTGCCAATACTCTTTTTGGTATCATTATCCTGGAAAGAGAAAAATAACATTAAAGAGTTAGAAGGTTCTTCAGGTCTGTTTTACCTTCACAAATCTATCAATTTTTGACCATTAGAATGACGGACTTATAAGTATCTAATCTCTTTCTACCACATGGATCTTCCACCCATTTTTTTTAATCTCCTACAATAGCAAGTTTCACATTCTCATAACACTTGAGCTTCTGATGTTTCTTCTGAGACATCGTGTACTTTGCTACAGAAAATTCTTTGGATTATGTATTCTTCACACAAAAATCTAATGCTTTGTTTAGTAGGTGGTCTAACATAAAATAGTATGTATACTTACCAATATCCTTGTAATAAAGGCATAAATAGCAGATGGAAAATTTTGATGTAGCTGTACAAAAATAAAGCAATGCTTGCTATGCAAATATTATTTTACTTTTACTTTAAAAAAAGAATGAAGTATGTCCTTAAAGTGGACAAGGCTCGGATATATTTTGTTGGTGTGCGTTTTGTACACTTGCAAGGACCTTACTATGCATGCATCTCTTGGATTTCTTGGGAACTGGGGTCTGATCACTATTCTACGATTTTATCTTACTCCATTATGAGACACTTTATTCCTTTCCCTTCCTTTACCTTCTTTTCTGTATGTCTTCTTTCTCGCTCTTCACTTCTTGTTTTCTCCTCCTCTAGAAAATGTATGGATAAATTAATGAGCAAATTTTGTTATACTGAAAATCTGTACGTAATTAACTCTAGCATGTAGAAAATAGTATTTCAGTGACATGGGTTTTCTAAAACAAAAGAGCTTTCTAAAGATAACTTAATATTCTGTTGAAATTCTCTCTCCAAAGCTGGAGAATTCCTTTTTCTTTCCTAATGAATCCCTCTGTTCTCGATGGTAAGAGTAATGACACGTGCTACCAGCTTCAGCAATCACCCTGCAGCTCGGGGATTCAAATGTATCACTCAGCAGAGAATGCCTAGGCAGGAAGGTACTTATTCTCTTCAAGCCAACAGACCAACAAAAACAGTGACATTCACCCTCTCTTCAGAGGAAGGGAAATGAGCATCAAAATTTTTAAAAGTACCAAAATAAAACTAGGTTATCACAAGATTCGGTAAAGATATACATTTCAGCAGGTATTTACATCTGCCTGTCTTTATCCTCTCTGTACAGATGGGGTATGGTTTCAGGGTATTTCTATCTAAATACCAAATATTTCAAAGTACACCACCAACTCAAAGCAACTTACCCAAACGATGCCTGCTTTCTCTTCTTCTGTGATGTTCTTTATCTATTCCCTCAAATGTTTTCAGATTATTTTGTGTATCTATTTGCTTTATCTCATGTCTCCTATGCTTTTTGTCTCGTTCTCTATCGCTCTCCCTGTCTTTATCTTTTAGTACACTGTATCTCTCCTTCTCCAAACTTGACTCTTGAAGCTTATCTTTCTGTCTCTCTCGGTCTCTTTCTCTCTGGTGCTCTTTCCCTCTTTCTCTCTCTCTCTGTTTATCCCTGTCTCTTTCACCAGATATAAATCTCTCTCTCTCTCTCGTTCTTTCCTTGCTCTTCCCTCTGTCTTTGTGTTCATGTTTATGAGTGTCTGTGTCACGAACAGACTTCTCTTTCTGCAGTTTCTTTTCCCTGTGCTTTTGGTCTTCATTTTGACTACCTAGTTGTGATGCCTGAAATAAAAAAAAAGAAAATTAAAAAGTCTATTATTATAATTCAGCAATCTACTTAGATACACTATATATTTGTGTGAAAAAAATAATGGATTGCTATGTATGAATTTAATTTCCCAAACAGTATTAAAATGATGATATATTTCTAGGCTTACTTTGTAAAATTGCTAATGTTATGTCTGTATTTATTATAAAAAGAGATAATAAAATAAATAAATAATAAGCTGCATTTTCAGTGTATTTGAAAAGAATTTGGTAAAAAAAGAAAATTTATTCTGGAACTGTGCATTCTTTTTAGAGCTAGGTTGAAAAATTAACTAAGTATCTCAAAGCTGTTAGCTCATGTAGATAGCAACTGGGACACCTTATAAAATACGTTATAAACAATAATGATAGATAACTGGGGATCCTGCAGCTGCCTTTAAAATAGAAGAGTAGCTTTTGTTTGAACACAAAGCAGCATATAAAAACTGTGAAAGAGTTTTTGGCCTAGATCCTTTGAAGATGTAACTATTCCTGCATTTTTCTGAAGTCATAAGAGATTATATTTTAACCTTCCTGAAGCAAGTAGCACAACTCCCATTGATTTCACTACCTCCACGATTTCAGCTATTTACTCTCTGCAGAACAAACAGAACTTGCTTTGATTACAGTCAATGAGTAAAGTGAATTAAACTTTATCCATCTGTTTCACAGAAATTAAAGTCCAACCACACCACTTCTGTTGGAACTAAAGCATTTCAACCCAAATTTGTTTGCTTTAGCCTACATGGAAGTAGTGGAAATGTTACCGAATGTCTAAAAAATAGAAAGTACTTATGCTGTAGCACGGGTGCTGAAGTAATGGGGAGCTAGGTAGTAAAAAGCTAAGTCATACATGAACAAGTAGAATGCTTTAGTTTATCAAAGGACTAATGAAGATCTGCACAAGACATAGAAAAGAAGATACATATTAGAAAAAGCTTTTTAAAATATATAACGCAAAACTAATATGAGTATCAGTGCTGTTACTGACTGGAACCTGAATGCCTATTAGAACAGTGGATAAAGTAATTAAGCAGTTTAAAAGTGCATGACAAACATGGTAGATGATGATAACAAATGCAATATATAGTATACATGTAGGAAACTGAGTAATTATATAGAAAGCAGAGCTGTAACTATATATAAAGCAGAGCTGTAACTTGGATTTGGGTGGCAAGCAAGTCAGATCCCATTGTGTGCTGTGTGCAAATACCACCACAATGGTATTTGTTCCACTTACCTAATTAAGAAATCTGTAGAGTAATCTTATATGACTTCTTAGCTAGAAACAGTTGAGTGTGCCAGTGTCCAGACACAGTTGGACTAGACAGATTCCAGAACAGTCAGTTGTAGCAAAGAAGTTAACAGCTACACATTAAAGATCTGTGCTGTCTGTATTCAGTGATGCAGATTTAAAGTGTTTAGTGTACCAAAAAGCCTTAAAGAGCCACTACAGATCCACAAGGCAGATTGGCTAGTAGAACAAGCAGTCAACCCTCTGTGTTTAGACTGTTAACAAATTCCATCGCTGTAAAGTAACTTAACATCACAAGTAATAAGACGTAAAATAAAATTACCCTAAGATGTTTCCTAAGTTCTTCTGATTTCCAAGTATCTTCTTTGGTTCTCCTCTAGAATAGAAAAGACAGCAAAAGAATGAGCAATCAATTTGCAGCAAGAAGTAAATCACTTAAAGAATAGTTTTTCAAAGGAAAGGATCAAGGTATATATGGCAAGTACCACTGAATTTCATTATGTAAATATTAATTTGGTTTAGTTTTAATGTGTATACTTACAGCGCACATGATCTGACTGGACCTGGAAGAAGCCTGAAGCTCAGACTTCTACTGGGTTATCCAGCTCTGTATACACATGGTAACCAGTTGAGGTCAATGCCCATGCTGGATGACAGCACGGCCCTTCAAGAAGACTCAGAATTGGCCTTCCAATGATAGCCAGTCAGCTATGTTACAGACCAAATGGGTGCACGCAGCCAGGCCACTTTTGGGAAGTAACCAATGTATCAATGTCATTAGGTTCAACCTCCTGCTCTATTAGGTCTAACTTCAAATTAAGTCCTGGTCAGGGACTTATTGAAGTGAGGTTTTAATATCTCTGAGGTTGGAGTTTGCCTGGGCAACCTGGTTTTCAGGTTTGACCACTCTCATTTGAAAACGTTTTCTTATAACAAGCCATAATTTCCCTTGCGGATAGTTAGGGCCAATGCCTTCTGTCCTTTCATTGTGCATCTCAGAGAAGACTTTATCTCCATCTTTTCCACAGATCTTCTGTACATACTTGATGACAGCAGTTAGATCCCCTATTAGTTTTCTTTTCTCTAGTCTGAAGAGCTCCTTAGCCTCCTTCCCACATATGTCATGGGCTCCAGCCCCCAAACCATCTCAGTGCCTTGCTGGAGTTTCTTTAGTACTGGGGACCCCTAAAACCAGACAGTACTGCAGACAGGACCTCACAAGTGCTGACTAGAGCAGAATAGTCATTCCCCTATACATGCTAGCTATGTGTGACCTTGATGATACACATAACCAGTATGTGGTTAGCCAGAACCACCTGAAGAGCACACTGATGACATGTTCAAGTTTCTGTCCATCAGGACCCCCAGATTCTTCTTCTGCAGAACCACTAACAGAACCCATTCACATAGCAAACAGTAAATATGGTATTTTCCCCTTAGACGTATCATTTGAGCCACCCCAAACTCACCTGTAAGAACACTTCAGGCAAGCAGTGAATCTAGAAATACCCTGACAAATGTAATCCTTTTTTTTCATCAGTAGGGATCGGACATAGCAACAACACATTTTTGTTAGATTTTTAAACACTAGAAGTTAAAAATAGTTAGATTACTGTGCATTTCAAGCAAACCAAGGAAGCTTCTGGTCTAGTAATTGAATGCATCTCAAAAAATGCTGGCAGTTTTTCAACCAACTGTCACTTAATATTTTAAAATGGTTCAGACCACATGTGTAAGTTGACTGCCATATGAAATATTTGTATGTAGCACTGAAGAAAAAAGTAAAAAGATAGTTAAAATAATCAGAGTATACATGCATATTGTTTCACTAGACTTCTCCCTAATTAAACAGGTTATATTTCTTCTACCCTCATTTGCAGAGTTACTGCCTTTAACTGCTTGGCTGCTACTAAATAGATTAAACTAAAAAAAATCATATTGTTTGAGATGACTAAAGCAAATGAGGAATTTTAATCTATTGCATATTTTTAACTTGTTCATTGAAGGATGATGACTATATTCAAAGTGACATGACAAGGCCACACTTATTCTAAAATTTAGACTTGATAAAAGTTACCAAAGATTAACAAAATGATTGCTAATAAATATTTGAATGATGAGCTGCACTGGTAGAAGAAAATAATCACATGGTACCCATTTTTTTTGCTAGTTCATTATATGGAAGAAGCATTTTAGCAGTATATTTTATTTTTTAATTATTTGACATGAAAAAATTCCTGCCTTATCAAACTTAGATTTTATAGAAGATTGTAGTGGACTGGTGAACTTCATCTAAAGTCGATCAGAAATGCCAAGAAGGCAACCTTTGTAACAAAAAGAGTGTGCTCTTTAAGTCTTATTTTCTTCTGATCCTTAAAAAAGGCAAAAAAGTACAAATATTTACTACTACAGAAAGTCAGATGAGAAAGTAAAACCAAAATTGATAATTTTCTTGAGTGAAGTTTAAACAAAGCCTAAGAAGTTCAACAGAACCTGTGTGAGGGTAAGCTGGAAGGAAGGATATGGATGGGGAGAGAACAGAGTGCTGGATTATAGTCTCAATTAGTAACCTACTAAAAAATCCCTAATATATATGATTATGTTTTGGTTTTAGACAATATTTAGGTACATATCAGCAAACAAAGAAAGAATGTTGATGATGTTAATAACCTAAAACCAGTACAACCAAGAGACAATATCAGATAACGTAGTTTGAGATTTATTTCAACGCTCTGGCAGAAAGCACGCAGCAAACATTTAGAGATGATTCTCTGGTGCCCAAAAAGGTGCATCTGCCACTTCTCTGGGGTCTGCAGTTTTCATCTCACCACCATCACTATAATCTGTTGATTTTATATAGGATGATTTTCCACTTAATTCTCTGCCTTTGCAAGAGACAAACAAACAAACAGATAGAAAAAGAGATTCTTTTTTTAAAGAAACTTACTACCTTTGAAACAACTATCCCCCTGTAAGTAGAGGAACAGAACCATAGGACAGTTTGGGTTGGAAGGGACCTTTAAAGGTCATCCAATTCAAACCACCAGCAATGAGCAGGGACATCTTCAACTAGATCAGGTTGCTCACAGCCCTGTCCAGCCTGACCGGGAATGCTTACAGGGATGGGGCATCTACCACCTCTCTGAGCAACCTGTGCCAGGCTTTCACCACCCTCATTGTCAAAAATTTCTACCTTACATCTAGTCTGAATCTACCCTCTTTTAGTTTAAAATCATTACCCCTTGTCCTATCACAACAGGAATCATTGTATACACAAAAAGATATGTTTAAAACAAACTTAAAAAGGATTTACTCAAGTTTCTCACCTCTCTGCTAATTTAGAAGTCCTTATATAATCACTTAAATCCAGTTTAAGATTAGTTATTTAAGCCACACTGGATTTTAATTTAATTCATCCACCCGAGAGCACAGGGAGCTCATCAGCTCACATAAAATTCCACAGATTTACTGAACTCAAAACATGTTATGAAAATGTTTAACATTTAAAAATCTGTCCTTTAAACTAATCAATAAGTATGTTGCCTTATAAAGTTACTGGAACAAGTGACCACACTACTTCACATAAATGCTTCAAAGAGAGATCAAGAAGGGTTTCTTTACTCACAAGCTAGAAAAATTGCGGGTTTTCAATATCAAGAACTCATTTAATTAAAATTCTAAAGAAAATTAAATAGAAAAACAGTGAGAAATTTCTGTAGTTTTGAAGCCAGAAAAAAAGGACTTTATTTTTTATATACAAATATTTATCTTTATTTTCAATACGAGTTGCCTATTTGAGAGCCCTCAAATAGGTAAACACCACGAGTGATACACCTGATTTGACAGAATAGACAAAGGAAAAGGAAGCCTTCTCATACAGTGTGGCTGTTAGTATGACTGCCTCTGGGTCTTTGGCACTCTTATCCAACGCACCTGAAAAACTTTAGATCAAAGTTTAACTTTCTATCACAATTCACTAACTCACCTCTTTTCAGTAAAGAGGTTATTGATGTACCACATATAATGAAATGATATATGAATTAAAATTTTAGTGTCGTCCTAACATACTATATCATGTACCCTGCCCAGCCAGTCTATTTTCTACTCCGTCTTCTATTCAGCATCAGCACAAATTAATTAGTTGTAAAACCCAGACTCACATAACAGTAATAATAAAGTTTGTGACAAAGTGACTTGATACTTCTGCTTTTTCAAGTGAATATGTAACACAATAATTGATGTTAACATGTCCGTGTGATTTTGTTTCCTTTATTCTGGAGCTCTACAAACTCTTTAATAATTTAACACCATCATGCAAAAGTTATGTGAGTTCCTAAGGAACTAAACCCCAACAATTAGCGGTTACAGCAGTATCAATTATTAAATACACTTTATCTACAGTATGAACTATTAACAGCTTTGGATATTTTCATAAACCACCTAGCCTCTTTGGCAGAAAGATCTGTGCCTGATAGGGCCTCATCCTTCTGCTAGAGGAATAAAGGCTTCCCCACTGCTGCCACCTGGCGCGGAGTGACAAAACAAGGGGACTCGAGCTGCCGGAGGGACGCCATGGGGTTCGCAGGGGCAGCAGAAGCACTAGGGCCGTTTCCTGTCTGGGCCCCCTCAGATTCCCTGGCTCAGTCAACGCCAGGTGACACGAGTGGCGGCAGCGAGACGCGGCCGGATGAGCGGATGGCCTTGGCAAGGGCCAAGACACCTAGGTATGGAGGGCCGGGAGCAGCGAGAGGCCGAGCAGACTGCGCCGACCGCCCCCAGCGCCTCCTCAGGCCCCCCTCCCGGAGAGGAGGGAAAGGGGCGAGGCCTGGGCAGCCCCTGCGCCGTGTCCGCAGGAGTCGGGCCTTGGGCGGCGCCGGCAAACTCGCCCGGCTTCCCAGAGCCCTGGCCGCTTCCCA